TTACCAGCCGCAATAATCGATCAGTGAACTAACAAAAAATATTTCTTTTTGCGGGACTTATCTACCACTGATCAGTAGGGTTGCATACAGGTTCTGTTTTTGTACCTTACTCTATCCTCTGATGATGATGCTGTGAAATACGGGAAAAGACGGTGAATAAGGAATGAAGGGCTATCGTATCGACAAAAAGAAATTTTTTTGCTATAAAACTTTGAAGTATCGGGTAACCAGAGCCAGTTTCGTGTAAACTGTAACAGTTGGATGGTCTTTTTTTCTTTTTGAGATGGGATGAGGGCTGGAAATTACCAATATAAGAATCCATTTTAAATCGTTGATTTGTCGTCTATTGTTAAAATATTTTAGGATAATTTTAATGACTGTTTAAATGCAGTGGCTAACAAATAAAGAAAAAAAAAGTGCTCTTTTTTTTTTCCAAACATTGAATCATTGTTTATAATGGTGAACAATTACTGATATTAGTCACCTATTACTGCAGTTAATTTCAAATTAATATTTGGAAAGATACTGCCAACAACTAAAAATTTTCGTTTTACTTATCGTCTTCGTCTTCTTCTTCAGTCTTTCTTTCCTTCTTCATTTGTTGTCGACATCGTCGCTGTCATCACTGTCGTCGTTGTCGTTGTCGTCTGTTAGTGAAATGATTAATGAATGTCAGTAAAGGTTCCGTTATGATTAAGTTTCCTCTATGGCATTTTTTTTTTTTTTGTTTGTCTTTGCTTTAACTTTTCAATTATTCGCGAAAAATGGTAATTTAGGAGTGTAGAAGAGTCAAGAATTTTTTTTTGCTAAGGGAAAGTAGATGACGTGAGAAGAAAAAAAGAAAAGTTGGAGATGAAGAAGGAGAACAAGAAGAAATTAAAAGAATAATAGGAGTAAATTATCAGTGAAAATTTTTTTGAACACTTTATACAATTTTTTTCTAAAGTTCTAAACAAATTTATTTATTTATTTATTCGTTCACTCATTTTTTTCTTCACTTACACATTTCTTCAACAGCAATATGAAATGAAGCAAAAAAAAAAAAACAATATTTTTTTTTTTTATTTATCTGTAATTATTCAAAAAAAGAAAAAGACAAAACATTTACAATTAAGAAGTGGAACGAATGTGCTGACTGATGCATCTGTAGTAGAAAAAACGGCTAAAATTATCGAACGTAGTGGAACTCAATGTTTTAATTCATTCTGCTTTTCTTTTTAGCATTTTTTTACTTTTTATTTTTTATTTTGATCATTCTTCTCTTTTGATGACGGGATAGATAATAATGAAAAAAAAAAAAAAAA